TAGGAGGAAAATTTTGTATTCTTACGTCTCATACATACACACACACACACTCACGCACGCACGCACGCATACACGCACGCATACACACTTGCAATAAAGCATGTTTCCGACATAAAAAAAAGTATATAGTTCACCTATTATTTCGATGCATAAAGAAAGTCGACAATAATCACAATTTTAACTAGGAAGATGTTCAGATTTTAAACAATAAAAATCATTACAACAAAGATTAACTTCTAAGATGGTGAATATAATCAAATTAGAAATGAATTCAATAAACAAAATCAAATTTTCACACCAATCGAATTTCTCTCACAATAGATTTTTCTATCTTTATCATATTATCTCTTATTTAACTCTTTCCATATCTCCTTCATTTTTTCAGTGAAAAATCTTCTCTTTTTCTGTTTTCTTCGTCTCTTATTTATTATGTTTGATATCGCTTTTTTGTCTTATTTTATTTGTTCATGTCGCTCTGGTAACGTTTACCTCTGTTTATTTCAATTTAAGATATATGTGCTTAAGAATTATATGATTTATAATCACACTTATGAGTCTAAAATTCTTTCCCAATTTATATATAATTCTAATTTATATATTTATTCATGCGTATACGCATGCACACACGCACTCACGCACGCACGCACGCTCGCATGCACGCACGCATACATATATCCAATAATCGAGGATTAAAATGAATTGAAATTTTCATGCAGATTTTAAGTTCAATTGAATCCAATTAAATACAAAAAACTTTCAGTCAATTAGATTCAAATATATTCAATCAAATTCTATTGAAATGAAAAACTACATTTTCAATTGAGTAGTTCTTACGTTGCACAAAAGAAGCTGATATTATTTTGAAACTATAGATGATTCCTATAAATAAATAAAAATGCATGCGGATTGAAAAAGGCTTACTATAATGTTCACAAATGTATTTCTGAAAATCTAAATTCATTTCAATTCATTTTAATTCATTCTCGTTTATTAAGTACATATATTATAAATGTTCTGAATTGCCTTACCTTACAGCTCACTAAATATAATAAATTAATTACACAGGTCGACAAAATTTAGGAAGACTAATGCTTTGAACTTTGAAAAATATTTCTGTAAGATTTTGATGTGTTGAAAACGATTATACATACGTCCGTTTTTTTTCTATTACCTACCATTTTTTAAATAATCGCGAAAACAGTTTTTTTTTGGAAGTCAATTTTTTATTAATTTTTTCTGGCTAAATAAAAATGATACTAAGGTCTGTTTTGCAACATTTAACTCAGAAATATTCCAACAATACTAAGAATAATTTTTCGATGCTTATAAAAATGTTTTATGCAAATCGCAAACAAAAAACTTTAGAAAACTTGTAAAAAACTGGAAAAAAATTGACAAATTTTAAAATATAAAACCAAATAATTGAAAGAAAAAAATCGTAAAAAATATCTAATTTATAAATCAAAGTATAAAGATGCGTATAAAAGCCAACATTAATTAGTCATGTATAATTAATTTATTCGTTGTACATAAATTGTAGACGTTTTGATCTCCAATTTGGATCCTTCTCAATACAAATATTTAATATTTAAGAAAAATATTTATCATATAAATAACATGACTATTATAATTTAAAATTATATAAATGGATTAATGCTGGTTTATTTGCTGTTGTTTCTGTCTTTATGTATCCAAGAGCTCGTTCATTTTTATTGCTAAATTAAATATTGATCATTTTTATATTAAATACAATTTTATATTAAATTTTTATTATCACAAAAAGAATAATGTCGTTGATTCTAAACTTACATGACAAACGCTTGGAATAACTTATGGTGACCTTATCAGATCGCACGCTCGAGATCATATAACAAAAATAATCTAACTGGAGTGCCAACGTTTTGAAAAATATCTCAGAGAGGGAAGCATCAATTCTTTGTAAACAATTTGAATATATTGGATTAAGAAACTCTGTGTCCTTTTTTCTATTGAGACTATTCTTTTGTTTTTTAATAAAAATCATTTCAGATGTTATTCAGTATTTTATGTAAATTTTTATCTTTAACCAAAATTTTTATATTCTCTCAGTCAAATTCATGGGAAAATTCTAATCTGTGCGCCGTGTTGAGTAACCGAATGCTGCGTTGTATTCCAATATGATTTTTATGTTCATTGATACGTGCCTTAAGGATTCTCCCCGTTTGCCCCATATATGCGTTACAAAATTTTTACAATTTATTTTATATGTATACTATATTATTATATTATGTGCTATAATAATAGGAAAATCGTCTTTCTGAACTTGGATGACTTTTTTCAATTTATTTATGCCCTTATACGCTTTGCTTATTAATTGTTCTTTATTAACAAAATTTTTTATCTTTTTAAAGATACTAGGTATGAAAGGTACCGCAAAAAATCTCCGTCTTTTAATTTCATTATTAGTATCTGAATTCTGCTTATTATTATTGCTAGAATTGTTATTAGAATTGTTGTTAAATTGTGTAAATTTTGTTCATAATTTCTTGTTAATTAATGCTTAACAATGGTTATCCATTATGTATGATTTTTGCTATATAATAACTTTTGAATAAATGATCGGAAATTAGTTTAAAAAAGGATTTAAATTAGAAACATACAGCTATAAGTTGTCAGATAATTTTTACGATTTTTTTCTTTCAAATTAGTTTTATATTTAAAAATTTGTCAATTTTTTCCAGTTTTTTACAAGTTTTTTTCAAAGTTTTTTTGTTTGCGATTTGCATAAAACATTTTTATAAGCATCACAAAATTATTCTTAGTATTGTTAGAACATTTCTGGGTTAAATGCCGCAAAACAGACTTCGATATCATTTTTTGTTTAGCTGGAAAAAATTAATAAAGAATTTACTTCCGAAAAAATTGTTTTTGCTTATTATTTTTGATTATTTAAAAAATGGAGAGTAATGAAAAAAAACAATGTAATCATTTTCAGCGCATCAAAACCTTAGGGAAACATCTTTCAAAGTTATGAACTGTCGACTTTTCTTCGTACAATTAAAAATCTTGTCCATCAATTGCGAGCGATGTTTTTTTGATATTTATAGATATACATATGAGGAGGATCAGGCGTATTTTATTTAATGTGGGATAAGCTTTGTAAAGGAATTTTTATTAAAGCATTGATTATATGTATTCAGAATTGTAAGTTTTCACCCACTAACGATGACTGAGTATGAATCGAAATGCTTGAAATATTTATATTGCATTTGAATTTGTCAATACATTAATTTTAATTGTACACTGATCAGCTTAGTTCATTGTCCTGTTTATTGCACTCTGAAATTTTTAATTTTCTAAGCCTTTAGATACTCATTTTTATTTTTAATCATTAATTACTCGGATACTGTATAGTGAATTTGGTTCGATGCTCTAGAATTGATTATTAAAATCATCATACACAAATTGATATAAAGGTGTTTAGTATAAATCGAGTTAAACGAAATAAATTTTTAAACTACTTTTAAACTTCTAATCAATATACAATTATGCTGTTAAGTAACATATCTACTTTATAATACGAAATATTTGTATTTCATTATTATATTTAAATAAAAATGTATAACAGATTTAATATGCACCAATGCGCATTAGTGCCGTCGAGTAAATTAACAGTTTTTTCTTTGATATAATTTTTTTTGTGAAAAAGTGGTCAAAAAATTTATAGCGAAAAGAACATGAGGCAACATTTTCCTCGTTAAAATGTCTGATGGGGAAATTAAGCATGGCCGATTTTTTGTAATAATGTTAAGAATTTGCGAAAATTTTTGGTTTCGCTCCTTTTTATTCTACGCCCACTTTTTATAGTTCAGTATGATGGGATGGGAATCTCTTTAGTACTGCATAATACAGATTATAAAAAGCATAGGAGCTAACAATTAGGATTCCCATAAGAGCCAATCCAAAGATCCAGGACAAAAGATTGCCATCTATCATATTAGAAGCCTCTTTCCTTTTCCGAGCACTGATCTCTCCCAGTGTAGTGCCCTTTCGCTCTATCATGAGCTTCTTCATATTGGCGAGCTTCTCTCGTAACTCATCTACAGATTCGGCAATCTCCTCGATTGATTCTCCCACGGGTAAATCTGCAATTTATGTAAGTACAATATCATATGAGAACAAGGCATTCTTGATTAAGTAAATACACAGGGTATACAACTTGCATACTTCGAAAAACTTGTAAACTATAAGTCGTATGAAAAACTTTTATATAATACAAAAGTTGCATGACTTCCATCCTCAGTCCTATTGTCCGTAATCAAGCGTGATGACTTCTCTCATATGCCTGTGGTACGCACGTTGATTGTACACAGTCATAAGGAACCTACAGTTTGACGTTGATTCCGAATGACGATTTTGTTTAGAGAAGAGTACCTGGCAAAGATCCTCTCAGTGGTTTGCCATTGTCTACCGAGAGGAGCTACGAGCATACGAAAATTTTTCGGTTCTGCTTGGGATCGAACCCGGGATCTCTGGCATAGCAGTATCGGACGCTACCTGCTACGCTCGTGTTCATAATGCATGACTTACATAGTGCATACATTTTTTTATAAATAGAAGCATTAAAAAGATTTTTAGGTCAATCTCATTTAAAAAAATGGAATTATATGAACTTTTTTAGATAATATAATTTTAAATAAGATATAATTTAGATAAAATAAACTTTATTTCGCTACATATTGACATAAAATATTAAATATCTCGTATAGAATAATAAAATAAATCAATTAGTTACATAAAACATATAGTTGCTTGTTTAAAAAATTATCCATTTTGTTCACATATTTTTTAAAGCAATTATGTGTTTTTTTTATACCAGTTGATTCATCTTATTATTCTGTTTATAAAAGTATTAAGATACTATCATAAAAAAATTAATAGTTAAAAAATGTTTAATATTTTATGTCAATATGCGCCGGAATAAGATATAAAATATCTCTTAAACTATTGGTTTTTAGATACTTTTATTTTAATATTTTTATATGCAGAAAAGAAAGAAGAATCATATAATGTAAAAAAATTCATATAATTTCATTTTAAAAAATGAGGTTGACCATGAAATTTTTTTAACGCTTCTACTTATAAAAAAATGTATGCACTATGTAATGGCCCTCTCGAAGTAATGCAACTTTTGTATAACAGTTTTTCATACAACTTATAGTTTATAAGTTTTTCGAAGTGTCCAAGTTGTATGCCTTATACTATGTATACAGAATATTTCGGACTATTTTCATGCAGATAGAGCGGAAACTAAGTCAAAAAGTCCTGTACAATTTTTCATTTTTCGCAATAATTAACAAGTTATTAATTATTGAAAATCGAATTATAAACAATGTTTCATGTGTAGCACCCTCGATCGTTGGCGGCTACATTTCGCCGTGCGCTTGCATTCGGTGATAGCTATACGCGCTAATACGGTGAGTTTAATTAATTGATAATTCATTAACTATTGCGACAATTGAAAAATTATAGACAACTTTTCGACTCTATCTGCATATGAAAACAAGATAAGACCTTCCGTATACGAGTATACTACTCTCTAAATCTGAATCAGTGGATAATCACTGATATCAGTGCCAAATATGTTACTGGTAATCAATGAATGAAATGTGAGATTCCTAACCTAACTGATTTTTATTATGTAATCTAACTAATCTTGTTTTAGTGCATAAATTCAATGAATATAGTATTGAAAAATTGAAATTAACATGCTTATATCAGTATTTTAGTTATATAATGTACAAAATTTTTTCTTTTTTAGTTAAATTTTACTGATTAGCAGTGTCAAATATGCCACTGAGTAATTAGTGATTATCCACTGACTCAGATTTAGAAAGTATCCAAATTCGATTTCGATAAAATTTTACAGGTATGTAGTACCAACTAAATGTAATCAAATCCATAAATGTGAACTTGCGGAAATGCTTAGTTTCCGAAATATTCAAAATTTATTTGATCGACTTAATTAACATTTGGTAAAACTTTTCCTTTACATAGTCCCAAATGACCTCCAATTGACCTTGACCTTAACCTTGACCTTCAAGGAGGTCAAAGTCTTATCTTTTCTGTCACTCGTTATTCATTAAAAAGTTATAAACAAAACAATTTTTATGAATAGTATGTAATTTTCGAACACAAAGTACATATTATATAATATTTCAGCACTTTTCATTGACAGAGAGTGGTGGAGGTAGATCTCGTTTTGCGTAAAAAGTCATGCGCCCCCAAACAGGGAAGAAGTGGAGTGAGAGTCGTTTCAGATGAAAGTCGCGCGCCCCCAAGCAAGGGGGGGAGATGGGGTGGGGGACTCTTTAGATGAAAGTCGCGCGCCCTCAAGAAAAGGAAAACTCCATTCCAGTGATACATAATTTTGTATAAACATTTTTGGCATTAAATCTTCGTATCGATGAAAATCCATTTAAGGGCATTTGACATTATTCATTTGACATCATTTAGAGTGCTTCTGCCAAAATTTATGAAAATTGAAGGTACAGTGTTTTTGGTAGTTCTTCCAAAACATTAATTAAGTCACTGAAATAAAATTTGAATATTTTGAGAACTAAGCATTTCTTCAACTACGAATTTATGAATTTGACTGCATTTAATTAATACCACATTTCTGTAAAATTTCATCAAAATCGGACTTAGTAATATACGGAAGTTGAGCCGAAAATAATCTCAAATGTTCTGGAAGACTGTGTAAATATATTGGTAAAATTTTTTTTCATAATTTTTCATAAAATTTTTCATAATTTATTACATCAACAACTTGTAAGTAATTATAAATAAAATTATGAGAAATTTTTGAGATTTTAAAATATTTTTTGGTAATTTTTTCCAATAACAAGAAATAAGAAATATAATTTCTCAGAACGATTTGATGAGAAATTATGAAATATTTTTTAGGGTCTCTAATATTTTCTTGCCTTTTTTTCAACAACAACAAATATAAAATATCAGGAGAATGTTAAAAAAGTTCGATTTTTGGCCCCCTTGCGAAACCTTCCTCCTCCTCCGTCTATAATCCTCCGAAAGGATGTAGTGACTTCTATTATATGCCTGTGGTGCGCACGCTGATTGTACACAGTTATGAAATGCATTTATGTGACTTTAATCGAGCAAACATTTTAGATCGACCATTTTAAATTCGCTATCATTGATGTTTCCATTTAATTAATAGATTTGCAGTCAACTTGTCTTACACAGCACGCTCAGATTCATTTTTATAAAAAATTTGATTACTGTAATTCTACGTATAAATCCGAATATTGAGGGCGCCATTTTAGATTTCCTATTTTCATAATTTGCCATATTTAATAACAGAATCATTATAAGCGATCTTTAAAACCTTTAAATACCTATTATCATAAGAAACTTTTGCAATATATCAAATTTATGATAAGATCTAGCGTGGTATATGAAAATTCGACTTGCAAAAGGAGACACATATTACATAAAAAAATGTACTTTTTAGCAATATTATATGCTAAACACAATATTGATTTTTACATCGCAGATCACTTAATTCCACTATTGAAGGATATTTGTATAGATCCTAAAGTTGTACAAGATTTTGCATTAAGCCAATTTCAATATACAAATATACGTAGTATATATGTAAAATATAAAAAGTATATTACAATTTTCAAAAATTTTTAATGGGCGACTAATGAACTCCTGTTTATGAACTCCTGTTAATGAACTAGTAATGAGTTACTAAAACTACATTCGACGTGCATGCACCAAAAACTCAGCATGTCTAACAACACTGGCTTCCGGAACCATGAAAAGATTACATGGTTCAGTTTGCAAGCGTCTCTCTCTAATTTTTTGCCTTCTCGTTTGTTAGCTAAACTAGGATCTGTTCGGTGACGATTCAACCTTAGTTGTTGTCTTTGTCGTACTCACATCATTAGATTCTTTTTTTATCATGTACTACCTAATATTACCAACGTTTGTTCGCGTCGCATGCTCCTACTACAGCTCTTATTCGCTTTAATGCATTTGTTGGAGTGAATAGGAGCTATAATGGAAATTGAAACACATTTCAAAAAGCGGGAGATGGCGGCATGTGTTTCAATTTCTATTATAATTCCTATATCTCCGCGAGAGATGCCGGCGCGAGGTGTAAGAGCGTTCTGTATGGACTCCTCCGTTAGATAAGAGGAGTCTGTAGACTGGGCCCGGCACCCCAGGGAACGATTCTCATATGAGACCTGACCTCATATGAGATTGAGGAGTGTCAAAAGATGTCAGGCATCTCAGGTGAGCCTCTAAAAGACTAAATCTGGGTGCCCTCCAACGATAGTCCTCACCTGGACAGCGTACAACCCGGGTGAGGACGTCGAGGCAGAGATAGAAAGGCTCCGGAGGGCATGACGATCCGGCTATCCGACGCCTCAATGCCCCGGAGTCGTAGGACGCCAGCACAGTTTGCATACTGATACTGGTCATCTGAGATCGCTACACTGAGAGAATGAGCGGTCTCAGTCAGGCGCCATCTTGCACGGGCCAAGAGGCGTTGCGAAGGTGAAGCGGTTTTGACAGACGCGGGGGACAGACTGCGCGAAGCGCACAAAGTTCTCCGCGTGGCGATCCGCAAGGCCAAGGCCCGTAAGTGGACCGAGCTGGTCTCGGATTTGGACAGAAACCCGTGGGGATTCCCTTATTGTGTGATCGCGAAAAAGACGCGACCGTGAATGCCCCCACTGACGGAAAGAATGGACTCCCGGCTCCTTGAACACGTGGTGTATAAACTATTCCCCACGCGCCCCGACAACATTCGTCCATACGATGTCCAAAGGGCGAAAGATCTGGAGGTCTGGTCCGAGGAGATGGTCCAAGTTCATTGCAAGATCAGGGGGCCATCCAAAGCCCCTGGTCCTGACGGGGTCTATAGCCGTGTCTGGGCACTGGCCTTCGTGAGTTCAGCGGCCGCCTGAGACAGATTTTTAACATTTGTCTCCGGCAAGGAAAGTTCCTTCCAGTTTGGAAAAGAGCCAACTTAGTTCTTGTCCGAAAGGAGGACCGGCGGAGTTGCCATCCGCGTACCGTCCGATTTGCTTGTTGGACGATACGGGTAAAA